CTCATCTCTCTCTCATCTCTCTCTCATCTCTCTCTCATCTCTCTCTCCTCTCTCTCTCCTCTCTCTCTCTCTTCTCTGTCTCTCGTCTTTCCATCTCTCTTCTCTTTCTTCTCTCGCAGGAGGATCCGGGCAAAGAGCCACATATAAAGCACTCTTCACCCCTGCCTCCAAAAAGAGCGCCGTGTTTTTCCTGCCTCGCTGCCCTCCACTTTCCCATTCTGGAGCGCTAGCTTTCGCCCCCCCCCCTTGGCCTCAAGTCTGAATCCCCCGGACTCCGCCCGAAACTGCTTCAAGAGAGCGCGAGGATTCTGCACCACACATCGGTGGGAGTCGCCCCGACCGCCTTTCGTGAGCGGCTTCAGGTCGGGTGGAGGAGTCGCTCCAAATACCCATGGACGTGGATCGCTCCAGGATCCAGGCCGGAGAAGATGGGTCGACGTCTGGGGGTCGAGTCCAAATTGGCCGACGGATCGGGACACACGGTTTGCAACAGAACAAAACCACGCAAAACCATATCAATAATATAGTTATATATCTAATGATCAATTGTTGCTTAGTCCTTTTTTTGGTGCATGTTGATTGCCTGTTGTACACTCGTCCGGTTTGGATCCCATTCTTCCTGGCCTCGTCTCCCCGTCTCGACCTGGTCATCGAGTTTCGACCCGAAGCGCGGTACGCCGTTGGACCAACCAGAACCTGTGGACCGAACGAGGCGAGAAAACCATGGTGAGAACATCAACAAGGAACTGGCTGCCAACCTCAAACCTTTCCTTTTTGAGGTCCGTTCCTTTTTGGAACTTGTTCGCTTCTTTTCCACAACGTGCCATCGGTGTACTTCGTTGCTCTCTCTCTCTCTCTCTGTGAACGTTCCGCGTGGCAGAGAAAGCGAGCCAGCTCTGGGCGACCCGGGAGAGGAAAGGAAGGAAAGGAGGAGAGCACCTGAGAGGATGAGACGGTTTTGACCAGTTTTGCTGCCAAATAGATGGCCCCCAATAGCACGGTTTCCAATACATTTTAGGTGGGGATCTACGAACTTCTATCTATTTTAGGGTCTATTATAAGCAAAGCTTTGCAGAGTCCGGTAGTGCATGATGAGTCCTTGAATGTCTTGGCAGCCATTCCACGCTGGTCCAGTTGGATCCCCTTGAAAGCTCTTTGCGCATCCAACAGGTCCCGTGTCAACGGTCACCTGGTCTTGGAGAACGGTCCTAGTTCCGGAACAAAACGAGAACAAGGAGGTACTCCTCTATGTAGTATCATGTAACTGAGGGTCCTTCTTAGACAAAACAGCAACCAGCCTTTGTATGTATATTCTTGCCAGACTTGAGTGAAGCGGCACCTACTGTACCTGACCTTTGGATCAATTTGGCACGATGCTTTGTGTGATTTTGGCATACATCGGTCTATCCGAACGTTGACTGTTCAGGATGCAGTTCGGAGGAGAGACCGTCCAAAGACATCGGGCGCTGTGCTCAGGCCACCTGCAAAGAGGGCCACCTCCGTATCCTCTTGCCGCGCCGTCTTAGTCGCTAGGCCGGTGCGACGGTCATGGAGTTGTTGTGGGGGGTCCTTTCCTGCACCGGAGACCGGAATGAGACCGGACGTTTTTAAGTCTTCGTTTAGAAGCGGGCCCCCAGCAGACTACAGCAAGGCAGCGCTAGATTGGCGCTAGGTTTCTTCATAACAGGATGATAAGCAAGCAGGAAAAAGAAGAAACAAGCAGAGAGCAGGAAAAAGAAGAAGCACGACAAGAAAATAAAAACAAACAAGAAGAAAAAAAGAAGAAGAAGAAGGCACAACAAGAAGAATACAAGCAAGCAGGAAAAGTAAAAATATTACAAGATAAATAAATCGACGGCAATTTTTGCGTCGTTTTTCCTATGTCGTTCTGAAGGTTTCTGAGAACTAAAGATTGGAAACAACTCAGAAGTCAACAACAGCTCCAGCAGCTCAACAGGCTCCTGAAAAGGTCCGCGCTAGACACCTCTCACAGTTTTTGCAGTTGACATGCCTTCATGTTTAACATCCCTGTGGTTTGAGCGCGGTTGGAGTTAAAGTTTAAAGGAGATTTAGAAGCGGGCCCCCATGGAATTGCGATGGGTGCACCATTTTGGGAAAAAACATTTTGGAAGCCAACCATATGTACATAATATATATATAGATATATATCATTACCAATCTTAGTAATTCTTATTTCTTGGCCGAGCTGGTAACGGTGTGCCTTTTTGCTTTCTGTGCAAAACGCGTGACTCCGCAAGGAGTTGGGAAAACAAAGATAAGTAGCACTTTTTGTGGAACCTGTTTCGATCATAGAGCCAGTGCCTTACTGTTTCCCCGCAGAGTTTGAGCGGCGGAGCAAAAGATTCACTCGGGCAGTGTTTCCCTCCAAATATTTCAGATGAAGCCGAGCACCTCGGGACGGGGGGAGATTTTGCCGGAACCGACGGCCCCGGGATGAAAAGTGATTGGCCGATGGCAGGATCCCTGGAGGGGAGGTCTTAAAGAGTCTTTGGTGTGGAAAACTCCCCCGTGAAACAAAACTCAAAAGGCAAACTTATAATCCAGAAAGCACGTGCTGCTTGTCATCATGTTGGGACGCTAGATGATGTTTCTCCCAGGAAGACATGGGAAATTCTCGGACACTTCTCACACCCTATCAATGTGTGAGTGACAAAGAACCCATTTTCTATGTTATGCGCCAAGTTCCACGTGTGAGAAGAGCTGGCCTTTTGAGAATGCTCGGTGGATGCTTGATAACCGACAATCCCAAATCTTCAGCTGGACCCACTTGTTTCTGTGGTAAATCCGAATGCTCGCTGGTCCGAATTTGGGTGTTCTTCGCACCCGCAACTGCCTTGTGACTCCAGCGCTTTCATTTGCTCTTAGAGCTCTCTTTAACGTTCGGTTTTTATAGAGCTCTCTTGAAAGGTTTGGCTCGTCCTGGTTTGTCATGTTTCACACTGACACTGACTGCTTGTCTTCGCCGCGAGGCAGGCAACCAGATGTACGGCGTCCGTTGCTTGGACATGTGGAGTTTTTTTCGGGCACAGTCGTGGAGGCATTGGGTCGTTCGCCATGGCGAACGGACAAAGTGACAGGCACATTTGGTGTCCTAGAATTGTTGGGGTAGAATCAGAATTGATGGGGCAACCTCGATTGGCGTCCTGGCCCGGACAACTCAGGAGCCACCAGTTCACTAAAAACATCTAAAAACAATCTCGAGTTGGTGATTCTGAGCAGCCAACACCCACCCACCTTTTCTGCTTCCTACCCTCGGCCTAAGACTTCATTGACAGGGAAACATGGACACTGAGAAGTGGTGGAGTCACTGGTAGAGGTACAGTTCATTTTCCCACTTTCCCACCTGCCAAAGTTCCTAGTTTGCGCGGTCTTGAATTTACTGCGCGCCAGAAGTGTGACGAGAAGTGCCCGTTTCTGAACGAACGAGGGCTTATAAACCACTCATTCGCTATATTTGTAGCTTTTGAACTTTGAACTGAACAGATCAGGTGGTGCTTCTTGGCCATGCAGCCTTGCTCCCAGGCAAATGGCCACGCCGAACATCCGGAACTTGTTTAAGGAGCCGTAGCGGCTCAGATTGATTTGTATGGATGAGTTCTCAGGATGTGGGCAAACAAGACCAACTGTATGTGGTTAGGTTTGTGGATCTGCCAACTAATGCATTGTCCGTTGAACAACACCGAACACCCCAAGATCTCCGAAAAGTGTTTGATGTTGCTGTTGGATTGGGATTTTAGTCTTGACACCCGATAGACTGACCCTTGCTGGACGCACGACAGCCGCGGGATTTGCGTCTTGAACGATCTATTTGTCTACACCGTGTCTACACAGGTTGGCTGGTTGGCACAGAATGGACATCGGCAACAAGGACAAGTGAAAAAGAACAGCAAAATTGCTCCTCTACTACCATACCCAGGCACAGTGTGCTGTGTTGGAAGAGCATATTCGGGTTGACCTTCAAATCCATGGTTTGCTGTTACTGGCTGGGAAAATCCAAAGCCAGAGAACTCCAGTGTTTCAGAGTAGATAGCACTGTCACCCTAAGATGTCTTTGAAGTTTGGAGGTCCATATAAACCTCCGAACTTGGGGATTGTGCCATCTACTCTCAATCCACTATGAGACTATGAGCCTAAAGGGGGTTTCCATTATTTTTCATTCAAGCTTCCAGGTTGTGGAGTTGAGAACTTGCCCGACGGTGCCTCAGTGCTGGAAGCAGCCCAAGTCTTGCGTTGAGTGGCTGGTCACGAGCTTTTTGGAAGGCAACCTACAAATCCAATTAAACAATTAAACTATTTGCAACTTTCGGATGTAAATCCAAGAAAAAGAGTAACATCTTTGGCCAGATGAACCGGTCTTTGTTCATAGTGCGTTCAAAACCGTTCCAGCGCACTTCAGAGATATCGTCGACCTGTGTGATGCTACACAGTAGATCATCGTAGATCACAGGAGATTTGCGGGATGAAATAGAATTTATAGCAGATGATAGCAGGATCCTCAGGATTAACTGTATTATATTCTATTAATTTATACTTTTAACACAACCTGACAACCGTGTCAGCCATGCGACGGTGCGTTTCGGCACCGACCCATGAAACAAAGGTTCAGAACACTGATTCTTCCAAAACGCCAGAGATCAGCCGCCCAACGCGCGATGACGGTGAGCTGAGAACAGTTGCTTCCCACACGACCGATGGGTGTGTCGTTCAACCAGATGGGCGGAGAAAGGGGGGGCCCTCTTCAGTTACCCCAGTCTTCATGGCAAACCTTGCAAAAGTGAAGACTTTTGAAACGGACCCATTGGCCCATCAAGCATGTCGTTTAACGCGAAGACCGGATTAATAACCCTCCCGCGTGGAAGGTCTCGAAGGTCTGAGGTACCATTCATGAGGTCCACGTATCCTGAATAATCTGCTAAGGGGGGAGTAGGAGTAGAAAGTAGTAGTCGTCATCGTCGTCGTCGTCGTCGTAGTAGTAGTAGTAGTCGTAGTCGTAGTCGTAGTCGTAGTCGCAGTCGCAGTCGCAGTCGCAGTCGCAGTCGCAGTAGTAGTAGTAGTAGTAGTAGTAGTAGTAGTAGTAGTAGTAGTAGTAGTAGTGGCAGTCGCAGTAGTAGTGGTGGTGGTGGTAGTAGTAGTAGTAGGTAGTAGTAGAGCAGAAGTAGCAGCAGCAGTAGTGGTAGTAGTAGTCACGATAAGTTTAAGCAAGCACAAACAAAAAGCCAGGGACACAGGATCAAATTAATAGGGGGTAGTAGTACAGAATATTGAAGGGGGACGAGACCTTGTGAGGGGTACCCTGTGTGAGCTTCTCAAATGATTGTTTTTGAATGTGTTTGATTGTTTTGAGAAGGACATTTATAGGCCCCGAACCTTAGACATGTTATAGAATATTTTTATTTTAAAGCACATAGTTGTGGTATGTTGTGGTAGTAGTAGTAGTAGTAGTAGCAGCAGTAGTAGTAGTAGTAGTAGTAGAAATTCACCTTGTTGTGTGGGCTCGGATTAACTGAGGGGGGTTCTGGTGCCCAACTAAGTGATTGAGGTGCAAATTAGCCACCAATACTACTTTTAACTTAGGCAACGTTCCGAGGCTTTGTGGGCTTGGATTAACTAGGCAAGGTTTATCAATTATTAATAAATTATTACTCCAATGTTTGCAT